CACCAGGCGCTGTTGAGCCTGAAATTGGGCTGGATCCCCTGCAGTTCGACAGGTCTTAGGAGGGTGAGTGAACCAGGAGATCCTCTTAAGCTTCGTTCCTTCACGCCCTGTGCTTTGTGTGGACTCTGCCCCTTTGGTTGGGGGATGTGTTTGGGCTTAGGGCATGTTGTCTGAACCTGCCTGCGTGTCCTGGTGTGACTTGGCTCTTAAAAGCAAACCCTGAAGAAAGGGAACGAGGACATCCCAAGGCAGGCTCATTTCACTGGTATTGCTTTTTATCTGAACTGAACTTTGGTGGTTTGTTAACCTGTTTGGTGTTTGCCATGTGGTGTGAATCCTGCTTGTAGGGAAACGCAGATATCAGTTTTTAAAAAGCCAGCCCTTCCTTCTGAGCAAAAGAAATAGAAAATGCTCCAATAAGCATTTATTGGGTATTCCAAAACCTTCAGTGATGTCCACCCCTTTTTGCAACACACACAAACAAATAACACAGGACTCATCTGCTCAATGCCACTGCCATCCTATACCAGCTCAGAAAAATTGTGCCTTCCATGCGGATGAGTGTTGTTCAGTGGTGAAATCCATCACTTTCTAATTCTTGGAATCTCTTTTCTTTCCCATCTCAGACACACAACCTGGAAGCCTTTTGTAGGTCTTCGCATAGAGACAAAACTCTCTCTTGGGCAAAGAGGGCTGAATGGCCTGTTGTGGTCATTCCTGCAGCTACAGGAACAGTCCTATGAATGAAAAGGCATTTGGAGAGCCACAACCTTCCCTGGACCACTTTGGAGTTGCGTTACACAACAGAGAAAGAATGGAGACACAACCCTTAGCAAGTGAGGTAAGTGGAGAAGGCCCTTCTGCTGTTCAGCCTGGGAGTTGTGGGGAGATCTGGGCAAGAACTGGGCAGAAGGTCCTGAAGGAGGAAACCACCCGTTCAGACCAGGAGGCTGAGGGCCCCGAGGGCTTTGCAGCCATCTCCACTACTTTTGTAGTCAGTGGTCGAGACCAGAAAAGCACACAAAGGCGCAGATGCTGGACCTGGTTGTTCTGGAGCAGTTCCTGGCCCTTCTGCCACTGCAGATGCAGAGCTGGGTGCAGGAGTGCGGAGCAGACACCAGCTCCCAGGCAGTGGCCCTGGCAGAAGGCTTCCTCCTGAGACAGGCAGAGGAGCAGAAGGAGCAGGTCGGGTTGCAGGTGGGAGACCTTCATTTTGGGAGCCCAGAAGGGGTCTGAATGGAATAAACAATGCATTTGAATTCTTAACCCAGTCCTGAGAAGAGTTCTCTGGCATTCGTAATATGTGGAGACGTGTCATTAATTCTTCTAGGACATTGTTCCGTTATCCATTCTAGAAGATAGATTTGGGACAGCCGTTCCTCTCACTTTCCAGCCTCCCTGATGGACACTGGGGGCTTTGAAGTTGTGTTCAGAGAACAAGAATCCACTTCATGTGTGATGTCTGTTAATTCTTCTTCTTTTCTCCTGCCTCCTATTTCAAGTCCTTTGCTATGGACATCAGAGATCCTGACCTAAGGAGGAATCCATCCAGTCCCCCTCAGGAGCTGTCTTTCAGGAGGG